TCGTACTGGTGCAGGGGGTCTCGAACTCTGGCTAGGCAGACCAATTTTGTAGTCTCCGAGCCTCATCGATCATTGCCTTCCCTGTCCCTCTCCCGACGAACGGACGCATTGACACCCCGACATCTAGTGTGTCGGGTGCCAGAACCATCATAATACTCATCGAACGCCTCGTCGTCCCTGGCAGAAGATTGTCCAGGTATGCTAACACCCTGAATCAAAAATATAATTAGTAATTTCTTCATCTGTAATAATTATTGTAATAACAATTAAAATAGATTATATTAATTTTTATTTTAATTTATAAATTTTATTATTATAATTTATAATTATTATTATAATTATTATTATTGTATTTTATAATTATTATAATTATTATTATTTTAATTTATAATTATTATTATAATTATTATAATTAAGTATAGTTATTATTACAAATTATTATTATTAATTATAATTACTATTAGAATTTATTATTATAATTATTATAATTAATTCTAATTTATAATTNTGAGAAGCCGTGCATCCGGCGCGGGCCGAACGCCTTTTTCGCCGTCCGGAACCAACGATCGGACGGCTCCGCCGCGTCCGGAGGCGAAGGCCAGACGCGGCAGCAGATTAAAAAAAAAAATTAAAAATTATTTAGCAAGTAAAAAAAAAATACCTTGCTAGAGAAGAATGCTTTGCCGAGGTCGTAGGATATTTTCGACATTATTGCGGATTTTTTTCGGTACTCGAATCGCTCGTTGAAAGTTCGGGAGTTTAGAGAAATAGAGAGATAAAAAAAGTTAAGGACAAAATAGTAAAAAGGGGACGGTGTTTGTAATTGGGGAGACGGTGAATAGTAAATGAGATTCATAAACAATAGATTTGATTCCAGTGTAACCTTTGAGCTTCTTTTGGTACTTCTTTCTCTATTTTTCAAATTGTTTACCTCCTTCTGCATTATCTGTATATAATTATTATTAGAGTGGTTAATCTACAACCATATATGTTAATTTATATTTCTCAAATCAAATAAAATTCTATATTACGTAGATATAAAATAATTAATTAAAAAATTTGTAAAGTTTAATACAAAGTATTAATATCACGTCACAAAAAACAAAAATAGATTTGATAAAATTTAAAATAATTGATTGAAATTTTTTAAAAAGTTTAATCGTATATTCAGATGAATTATTGATATCACATGTGGTAAATAAATAATTATCAAAGAAGATGAAATTAAACAATTAAAAAAATGCTTAAATAATTTCTTTAATTATTTCTTGGCAAAATTATAATATTTTAAGTAAATACATATACACACACGCAGACGATGTAGAATAAGAAAAACCTGCACACATTACAAAAGCATTCAAAACAAAAAGTACTTAATTAGAAAACAACTATCTCGATTTTAATTACGTACCTTAATCAAATTTGTTCTCCTCATAGAATTTACATAATCTTTTGATGAAATTGATATTATATTAATTACTTTTTTTCATTTAAAACTTGCGAAACTGTAGATATCATTAATCTGAAATATTTTTTTTAAGAAAAAACTACTTTTGGTCAAATGAACATTTTTTTCATGAAAATTCTCCTAGTTTTTAAAATGAGTTAGAGAATTGTTTTTATCTTTATTCTTAAAAGTACTAATGTGATTTTTTTTATTAATTTTTTGTTACCTCAAAGTGTTCATCCATAACGCGAGTTTTGACATGTACGATACCTACCCTCTTGAGGCTCGAATCCCTGATCACAACTTTCCCTTCTTTTCGGAGTTGGATTGCCACTTCACATGTCTGCCAAATTACTTTAATAGTTATCACTCTATTACCAATGCATACTTGCAATAATATGAGTCGACTTGTCATACTTTGTGAGTGAAAATTTATACTTATTCTATTAAATATCATATTTCTGAAGTATGACATTTTACAGTTATAGTATGCATTTTTATAAAAATGGTACAATGGCATACTAACCATGACAAACACAGACTTGGCATGTGCCTTGAGCTTAGGATTCTGCATAAGTGGAATATAACAAATTTTTAGCCGACGGTGCTACCTCAAATATCCTGATCAAATAACAGCATAATTAATTTCACAATAATTAATTTAATATCATAAAATTAGAAAAACCAAATCAAAGAATCAAAAAGTTCATCTTATTTAGGTTTCTTACTTGTGAAAAAGCTTGGGGGCCCAACCACCAGCATCCTTCTTCATCAAATTCCACGACTTAACAACCAAAGCTTCTTGTTCCTCGGTGAATAAAATTGTATCTCCATCTATTAGAATATTAAACACAATTATAGAATAATAGTAAATCTAATGAAGCAAGACATATATTCACAAATTAAAAAGCTATAATTTGACCTCAAACTACCATCAAATTGATTTCACATAAAGACAATGGAGAGCATTTGATGCTATTGGTGACTTCACAATAATTAGATTTTTTACCGTTTTATCAAAATACATACTCATACAAGTAATAAGATTTGTACAGTAGTATCTACATACACACATAATTTAGTTATTGAGTTTTTTTATCGTTGGATCAACATACTCGTGGGGACTTATGTGTCTGTGTCCAACGGTTGAATAAACCCGTGTCACTGCAATTCACTCACCAGTGAATGCTCCAATAATGGCAATATATGAACATATACAAAGAAGAAATAGATCAAGAATGACACTAACACTTCATGCTATTAACTATTGTTTAATTTGATTTGAATACTCCACTAATAGCAATGTATATACAAAGAGGAAATAGCGCAAGAATAACACTAACCCTTCATGCTATTAGCCATTGTTTAATTTCATTTGAATTTCTTGTGCAAAATGCAAGTGTTGAGTGAGTTAGTAAGAACAGATTAATTGATGGGCTTATAAACTTTATATAAGTAGTTAAGTTATGTAATGTAATATGTAGTGGCCTAAAGGTTGGCCCTTGACAAGAGTGTAGAGCCGTGCATATGGCTGAGCTAAGCAAAATTGAATTTGACATCACTATGATGACGATGAAATCTGCCGCTGTGTTTTGTTTGCTGGAACCTGGTTTTTACAGTACTCAAGGTGGCGGAAGCTGATTGGCTGCTTTTCTTGTCGGTTATATGGATGTCTTCCCAATCTAAATGGAATCTGGACTTAATGGATACCTTTCACATTTACTTTTTACTGTTCATTGTTGTTTTTCTCCTTTTAATCATTTAGGGCTTAGATGGTTTATGAATTATTTTACTCACCTTTATTTCATACTCAAAAACTCAACTATATTATCTTTAATAGTATTATTCAAATAATAAATAATACAAACCAATCATTCTTACACATCACATCAATTTTAATTCACTATTCATCCACTCACAAAATTTTAACTACCTATCATTTCTAATCATTTTTAATCATTTATCTCCTACTTTTACATCAAATTCAATTTTAATCATTTTATTTCAAATATTATTTTAATATATTCTTAAAATTCCACTAACAAGTAACTATACCACTATTTTTAAAATTAACTATGGTTAACCAAAATAACTCATTTTGAAAAATTATTTCATAAACAATCAAGCCCTTATTATTTGGAGGAAACCATTCGAGTAATGTGTGAGTTCTTTGGGGGTGATTGTTTATCAATCCAACTAAAAAAACAATCGAAACTCAAATTTAACTCAATTTTAATTCAATCTTACTATCTCCAATATTATCAATATAATTAAATAATATCAACTAATTATTCTTACAAATCACATTAACTTTAATTCACTACTCATCCGCTCACATAATTTTAACTAACCATCAATTTTAATCATTTTTCTCTTACTTTTACATCAAATCAACTTTAATTATTTTATTTAAATATTATTTTAATATATCAATTAAAAACTAATCATACCTCATTTTTTTTAAAATTAACTATGGTTAAAAAAATAAATTAAAAACTAGTTGAATTCATATGCAATCACCCCTTAAATATAAAGGCGTTATTCGAATTGAATTAGTGGATAATTATCTGGTTTGGCTCATGAAGTTAGATTTTGGTTCGTTCATTTATTTATAGGAGTTGAGCTCGTACAATTAGTCGGACTCGTTTGTTAAGCTAGTCGAGTCAAGTTTGTTCACGAATAATTAATTTTTTCAAAATTAACTATGGTTAAAAAAAATCAATTAAAAACTAGTTGAATTCATATCCAATCACCCCTTAAATATAGAGGCGTTTTTCGAATTGAATTAGTGGATAATTATTTGGTTTGGCTCGTGAAAGTTAGATTTTCGTTCGTTCATTTATTTCTAGGAGTTGAGCTCGTACAGTTAGTCAGACTCGTTTGCTATGCTAGTCGAGTCCAGTTTGTTCACGAATAATTAGTTCCTTAAAAAAATTTATCGATTTTAAATGAACGGTTTTGCTATGAAGTCAACAGTTGGCTCCACAGTTTCATTCTTGCAGTTCAGAAAGGTTTGCGTAGATTTCTTTCGTTATTACGGAGGGCACGTATTCATCTTACGTTACTTCCTAAAAATTTCAGGTATGAATTGAACCAATTTAGCAACGATGGTGAGAGAGCGTCGACCTCGCTGGATATCGACGACGGTGACGGTGACGAGGCCGCGGGTAGGAAGAAGCCACGCCTGTCCAAGGAGCAGGCGGCGACGCTTGAGGACACGTTGAAGGAGCAGAAAACCCTAAATCCAGTGAGTCTTTTTTGTTCTCCTGTTTTTCCTTCTCCTCCACCCCCGCCTATCACCCACGCATAGATCCGCTCTCTATATTTTAACTCAATTTCACCAATCTTGCAATTCGATTTGTTACCACGGAAAATAATTGAATTACAAAACATGTCGATCCTAATTAATAATAATAGTGATAATGTGTCAGTGGCAGTTTCACGCCTCAGTACATCACTTGGTACTGCCTGCAGGCTTTCACCCATAGCAAGCAGTGTAAATCCCAGTGGCTTAAGTAGGTGTCGTGCGCCCGAACCTGGCGAGGATTTTAGCTTAAGCTGTGATGGGAAGGATGTGGTCCTTCAAAGTCTGAGGCAGTTTTGTGTGTTTAGGGAAGCTAAGAAAGACAGGAAGCCATGGGTGTGGTGGGATTCCGTTGCGGATTTTAATATTAGGTGCCCACATTTCTGGTGACCTAATATTAAAATGATCCATAGAGATTATGCCTATGAGAAAACCTAATATTAAAATCCGCAACGGAATCCCACCACACCCATGGCTTCCTGTCTTTCTTAGCTTCCCTAAACACACAAAACTGCCTCAGACTTTGAAGGACCACATCCTTCCCATCACAGCTTAAGCTAAAATCCTCGCCAGGTTCGGGCGCACGACACCTACTTAAGCCACTGGGATTTACACTGCTTGCTATGGGTGAAAGCCTGCAGGCAGTACCAAGTGATGTACTGAGGCGTGAAACTGCCACTGACACATTATCACTATTATTATTAATTAGGATCGACATGTTTTGTAATTCAATTATTTTCCGTGGTAACAAATCGAATTGCAAGATTGGTGAAATTGAGTTAAAATATAGAGAGCGGATCTATGCGTGGGTGATAGGCAGGGGTGGAGGAGAAGGAAAAACAGGAGAACAAAAAAGACTCATTGGATTTAGGGTTTTCTGCTCCTTCAACGTGTCCTCAAGCGTCGCCGCCTGCTCCTTGGACAGGCGTGGCTTCTTCCTACCCGCGGCCTCGTCACCGTCACCGTCGTCGATATCCAGCGAGGTCGACGCTCTCTCACCATCGTTGCTAAATTGGTTCAATTCATACCTGAAATTTTTAGGAAGTAACGTAAGATGAATACGTGCCCTCCGTAATAACGAAAGAAATCTACGCAAACCTTTCTGAACTGCAAGAATGAAACTGTGGCCTCCAACGTCGCAGCTAAGATCGAAATTTGCAAAATTTTGAAATGAATTCTTCAGATTTCGAAAGAAGTGAAGTAGTT